GGGGGGGGGGGGGGGGGGGGGGGTGCAGTTGTGAAAGAAGGGCTGTGGCTGATGTCAGAGAATGAATTCTTGGAGATTAACCCTTTGAACCCCAGCCAACTGCCTATATGTTGGTCTTTGTTTTTCCTGGGGCCTGAAACTAATCATTGGAAGGCAAAAAAGAGAGAAAAGGATGTCAGGTGATCCTTGCCTATTTGCTGTGCCTTCCACCGTGGAGGAGGAGCTTCCCCAAGTGCTATAATAACTCCTGCAATTTCTCTACCTTTTGTTCTATGCTGGAGAAGGGAAAGAAGACAAGTTAATCTCCACTTTCCCTAAATTTCTCAAGTTTTGTTCTGCAACTCCCACCCCAGTCCTTTTGGGGCAATGTGTTCATTCCATAGCTCCCCCCTAAGGACCCGCTCTTCTCCCATCCCCTCAAAGTGATCAAAATCTCTAAAGCATATTCTTAGCCTTTCCTCCTTTGCTACTTACCAGCCCTCTGCTTAACACCTCTTCTGGTCTTGGGGCTCCTGACTTCCCCTTAGGGTGGCAGTTCAAATGCCCTTCTCCAGTTCCTACTCTGTTGCCATTTTGTAGCATGCCTCGGGTAAACTCCTTTTCACTTCGAAGCTTTGTGTTCTTTTTTGAAGCTTACTTGTTTGGTTAGGCTACAAACTTCTGAGCTGAAGAGGGTGTGCGCCCTCTTGTGGCCATTGTGTGCCATAGCCGGGGTAGCTGCCTAGAATCTCAAAGCTCAAGTATAGCCTTACAGAACACTGGACCTTCAGTGCACAGACAAGCTAGAGAGACAGGCCTAGAGAGGGCAGAGATTTGCCCAGTGTCACCCATTGTGGATCCAAGGCAAGACTCTAGAGAACCCAGATTTCTTGCCTGTCTGCCCACAGTGCCATCACTTGGCTAGACTGCTCCCCCATTCCACCCAGTTAACACCACCCAAAGGACAGAAAGCAATTTTTCCTTGTGTTAATATTTAGGTTCTTAATCCTATTCTAGAGAGGCAGCTCAGGGTTTAGAGAAAGTGCTATAGGCTCTGAGGAAAGAGAACCTTGGACCTCGACTAGGTAAAAGCTGCATGAATCTGGACTGCAGATATAAGAAAAATCATCCTGGACAAACCCTTTTCCTAGGGAGGGCCAGTAGGCCCAGACATTATGGAGGGAGAGCTCAGCATTTCAGACCTGGAGGTTAGAAGTAAGGTGGGGGTGGGGAGCTTTGAAATTAGGAAATCCGGATGGATCCTGTGGAGTTGGGGAGCTCCGCAGGTCTAGGGAGTACAGCAAAGTTGGATAGGTACAACTGGGTAAAGGCAGAGATGAGACTGCTCCTGGAAGCTCAAAAAACAATGCCCGGGAGGGTAAAGGGTGGTGCTGACAGGATGAGCCCATCGAGGAGTTATGAGACCTTGGGAGTGGGCAAGTGTAAGAGCCTGCATTTAGGATGGAGCAGTAAGGTTGAGTATTGGACTGATTGGAAGCTCGGTGGCAGCTTAGATGAGAAATGCTTGGAGCTTGTAGCAGACAGGCTCACTGTGTGTATGGGTTCCAGGCACTACTTGGTGTTCAGTGACACCTGTTGAATGAATGGAAGAACGAACGTGTGTAAACCCACAAGGAGATATGACTTGTTTTTTAAAAAGTAGCTAATTAGGTCATAGTAGGTAATATAAATATTGTTCTATTTAATTCTTAGCAACCCTCTAAATAATGCATTATTAATCATGTATTGTTGCTTAGATATATGTTCATGGTGAGATAGGTAATAAATCAACTATAATAGGAACCTGGGTCAGTCTGGCTGCAGGGGCTTCCCAGAAGTCTTTGATTCCCCACTCCCCAATGTCACAGACCTTACTCCCCTGGGAGAACAGGTTATGCTGCCTAGCAGCAGGGCTAGTATGCTAGTTTCCTCCTGCTGCTATCATGAATTACCACAAACTTATTGGCTTAAAACGACACAAATTTATGGGAATGCGAGCTGGTGCAGCCACTCTGGAAAACAGTATGGAGGTTCCTCAAAAAACTAAAAATAGAACTACCCTGCAATCCAGCAATTGCACTACTAGGCATTTATCCACGGGATACAGGTGTGCTGTTTCGAAGGGACGCATGCACCCCCATGTTTATAGCAGCACTATCAACAATAGCCAAAGTATGGAAAGAGCCCAAGTGTCCATCGATGGATGAATGGATAAAGAAAATGTGGTATATATACACAACGGAGTATTACTCGGCAATCAAAGAGAATGAAATCTTGCCATTTGCAACCATGTGGATGGAACTGGAGGGTATTATGCTAAGTGAAATTAGTCAGAGTAAGACAAATATCATATGACTTCACTCATATGAGGACTTTAAGAGACAAAACAGATGAACACAAGGGAAGGGAAACAAAAATAATATAAAAACAGGGAGGGGGACAAAACAGAAGAGACTCATAAATATGGAGAACAAACAGAGTTACTGGAGGGGTTGTGGGAGGGGGATGGGCTAAATGGGTAAGGGGCATTAAGGAATCTACTCCTGAAATCATTGTTGCACTATATGCTAACTTGGATGTAAATTTTAAAAAATAAAAAATAAAATTTAAAAATAAATAATAAAAACTAACAAAAAACAAACAAAAAAAATGACAAATTTAGCATCTTACAGTTCTGGAGGTCAGAAGTCTGAAATCAGTTTCACTGGGCTAAATTAAAGTCTGTATTCCTTCTGGAGACGCTAGGGGAGAATCCATTTCTTTGCCTTTTCTAGTTTCTAGAGGCTGCTTGCATTCCTTGGTTCATGGCCCCTTCCTCTATCTTCAAGGTAACAGGATAGCATCTTCTCTCCTCTGACCTCTTCTTCCATTGTTTCATCTTCTCTAATTCTGTCTTTTGAGGATTATATTGTGATTACATATGCTTGTGATTATATTGGGCCCCTGGGATGATCTAGGATCATCTCCTCATGTCAAAAGCCTTAATTTAACCTCTTCAAAGTCCCTTTTGTCACAAAAGGTAAAATATTCACGGGTTTTGAGGATCAGAAAATGAACATCTTTGGAGTAAGAACCATTATTCAGCCTACCAAAGGCAGAGATGGAAGGTGGGCAGATGGATGCACCCAGGCCCAGAATGAGCCTGTATGCTTTGTCCAGCCTCCCTCAGCCTGGAGTGAAGGGTGGTGGGAAAGTGGTGGCCAAGGGGAAGGTGGCCAGGTCCAGGCCCCATGTCTGGAGAATGGCAAGTGCCTCTTGCATCATCACTACCAGGCAGAGCTGAGATTAAAGGGAGAAATTCTCAGTTTAGGGAATTTTCAGGCTTGACACTCTCCTAGTGAACATGGTGGAGGGTTCCAGCAAGCTCTGTCTTCAACACTGCCTCCTCTCCAGAACCATTCTGTGCAAGGCGGAAGGTAATTACCAGCGAACTAGGCTGGGCTCTCTTTAGAAAGGGTAGATTTGTTCTCTCCTTTTTAAATTAGTTTTTATTCCTTAATAAGTTAAACCATGCTCCTCATAGCGTGATGAACTCTCATCCTCAGT